CTCAGTCTCTCCTCCTGTCTGTCCCTGAGACTCTCCCCTCCTGTCTGTCTGTCTGTCCCTGAGACTCTCCCCTCCTGTCTGTCTGTCTCTCAGTCTCTCCTCCTGTCTGTCCCTGAGACTCTCCCCTCCTGTCTGTCTGTCTGTCAGTCTCTCCTCCTGTCTGTCTGTCTGAGGCTCTCCCCTCCTATCTGTCTCAAAGACTCTCCCCTCCTGCCTGTCCCCCATTAATCTATATTCTGCCCACATTTACAAATTCATGCCCCAACCCAGTCCACAATAATAACAAAACGTCACACCTTTTTGCCATCCGCAAATAAGCATAGCTAAATCTTATCCATATTTATCATTTTCCCTATCATTCATGCCTACCATTGTTATTTGTTATGATATTTTTTGTTTTTATGAGATCATCTTTTTCTGAAAACTTCCATTTATTATACGCACAGCAATAATATCCAGACCCAACCCTAAATGATTATAATGTCTACCGATGATCTCATAAAATCCCTGGTCTCCTTGCAGTGCGTTAAGTGCATACTCCACAATGATAACTGCAAACTGCAAACGTTGTATGTCTGTATTCATGGCAGGGTTTACGTGGGAATGTGCCAGGGAATTCTGGCATTCCCAGCAGGCCTTCAGCACCTGCGCTAAAGCATTTCCCATATCTCTTAGAGGGATAATCCGACGTTCGGTCATTTAATGCTTAATAGCGATTGTATCGGCTGCCGATTAGCATATCAACACAATTAGCTTATAATTATAGATATCCGGCCAGAAATAGGGGTGAACTAAAATCCAGACATAATGGCCGAAATTAGCGAGAGGGTCACGCAGGCGAGTCTGTGCGTTTTACTCTTAAATAATGAAGTGAATGGGCGGATCTTTCATCATTGACCAGATCCCTGTTTATTTCATTTTAGCGGAAAAAAGGCTGATTTTGATTTGAAACCGCTTAAGTAGTGTTTACTGAGTGATCGCTTTGTTTCTGAAGAGACTTCTAGAAGGATGTGAACCCCTGAGGTTGTGAGTGTCCTACAAGGGAGAACTCCACCAAAGCCTCATGTACTTCATCGTGTTTGCCATCTCTGCCGAATAATGCGCATTTTCTCTCAGCAAGTAATCAAAACTTACTTGTTTTTTCCCCTTCCTGGCGTACGGATGTCAGGCAGCTCTTGGCAATTTCACCGAAATCCCGCAGCGCATTCATATGGAATAAATGCCCCGTTATTCCTCGCGATTTCTCACGTTTTTGTAGCGCCCAGGATTGATGGGAAAAGCGAGGATTAGGAAACAAAAAAAGGGGACGCCTGTATAAGCATTACCAATGAGGGATTTAAAATCAACGTTGTAAATAAACGCTTAAAAAAAAACATTTACAAGAAGGAATTTCAGGGATCTGTGTGATGGGGCCGAAAACTGGGGACTGAGAAACCCCAAGTTTTCCCAGTAAACGTTCCAAAAATATGAGGGGGGCTGTATTTGGTGGCATCATTTGGAAAACAAATGCGATTTCACAGCGCATGTAATACAATTTCCTGCCGTCAGTCAGGACCGTGTGCTGGAGAAAATGAACGCTGTGTCATTACCCCCTTCGCTTTTTAAAAAAAGGGGCTAAGTGCTTGGGGTACATGTTGTCCTAAAAGAATCGTTTATTGTTTAACATTTTCACTCTGCGGGCTTTTATGCTAAAAATAAACTGCCCTTTAAATGGATGGAGTTTTATGGCATGTGTGAAATGCCGCTTATCTGAAAACAGTGGCTTACGGACATTTGCGGCAATGAGCAGTGCTGTCCCTTACATTATATCCATAAATTTCCGCTCCCTTGAACCAAGTACCAATCACTATAGGTTGCCTTATGCATCACTCTGTTCTCTTTCTTCCCCAGATCAATGGTCTGTTTAGGAGGCATTTATGTTGGGTAGGTTTCAGCTTGGTATTGTTCTTCAGTGACTAAATTAAAGTCAAATATTTAAAAAGCTATATGTGTGTGAGAGACCATTCAGGGTTATGGGAAGTGTAGTAATTAATTTACTCCTATTTGTGATGATTCAGTGACTAGCTGTGTGGCTGGCACTGCACCTGTGTGGAGTCTGCCTGTTTTCCCAGAATCCCTCTGGGTTTCTTCCAAAAACACACTACTCAGATGATCTGAAATCTCAAAAAAATGCTCTTAGTGTGAATGCGTTTGTGTGTGTGTGTGTGTGTGTGTGTGTGTGTGTGTGTGTGTGAATGAGTGAGTGTGAGCTGTGTTTCCTGATACAGTCTTCAGGCCTTTCACCACCCTATTCTGGATAGGTGGTTATGAATGGAGGGATAGATGGATGGATGGATGGATGGATAGATATGCAGTTTGTTTGATCCTTTATCAGGCCTTTATCCTGCTGTCTTCAGTCCAGCAGACCTACCCTGGGTATGTGTGGAACAGCTGTGAGTAATTCACATGCTCTGAACCTGCTAATATGATTCAGAAAACAGCAGTAATAGAGAAACATGGCTTCCTACAATAGGATCAGAGCTCGGATACCCCGACTTCTTAATTTACGCTGGGATTAATTCAAAGAACAACAAACAGGACTTCTATATTTGTCAGAGTTGTGTTAGAGTGTAATACGTACCGTGTCTTACCTCCCTGTTTATGGAATATAAGTCTGGGGACAGAAACAAAGCTGCTTTGCCAGAAGTTTCCGATGCAGGCTGGCATTAAATGAGCTCAAGAAAGTCACCTAATCATGTTTTACTGACCGTAACATGTAAACAGGGGTTTAATGTGCCTGTCCAAAGTCCACAGACCACCGCAAACCCAGCAGTGTAACACATACACTCCCTTCCAGTGTTCATTTCACACCCAGCACAATAACACACATACTCCCCATTTAACACCCAACAGTGTTACATGAACATTCTCCCAGCAGTTTCTATTTAACACAAACACTCACCGGCAGTGTCTGTTTAACACCCAGTAGTGTTACACAAACACTTCCCCAGTGTTGAATTGGCAGTGAAGTTGTTGTCATGAAATCGGCATGGACGGAGTACGCCACACACCCTTCGAATGTTAGTGGGTGGTTACAGTACAAGCTGCTTCTAGTAGAATCTGTGAGTTTGCATTCAGGAGAAGGTGCTAGTTACCTTGCAGCCGCCATTTAAATTGCAAAGGTGGCAGGCCGTGGAGGGTGGCCTTTGGTCTGTTTGGTAGCTTCCTCATTAACTTGGCAGGTCATTACCTCATCTTCTACAAAAAAAATAAAGAAAATATTTTGAAACTCAGGGATTAGCAAACTCAAAGCCCATCAGGCTGCTTTTAATCACGTAATGAGGTTTGGCACCAGGTCAGTAAAACACATCACTCCACATACGACCTAAACCCTCATAACTGAAATGTACATGTAAACATCTTTGGAAATTACAGGAATTGTGTACTTCTACTCCAAATTTGATATACATCTGCTAGGTACCAAATCTCTTTGAATATATTGCTGTCCAACAGTGTCTTACAGTACATTAAAATTTGATGACTGATAAAAACAGTGAGTCTGTTGAAATTACCGCCATTAATAGTTTCTCTAAGCTGAGGTACATGAGTGGTAACCTTGAATGAGAGAGCAAGTCGCGTGTGTATGAATGATTCAGCGCTCAGCATGTCGGGGGGGAGGGCAGCCAGCCTGTACCCAAGCTGCCTGACGTTGGCTGTGCTGGTGAACAGACGTGCAGTTTGTCTGAAGGCTCCTCTGCTAATTGGCTGATTGCCTTTGATCAATATTGATGGCCTGGCGGAGGTGGGAGGGGGGTGAACAGAGACAGGCGAGCGTGCCATCTGAGGCCCCCAGAGCATGTGGTATTTGGGGATGGGGGTGGAATTTTAACAAGCCCCCGGACTGTCCAGCTGCCACCTTGATCCCATGCTGGAGACACAAGGGAGTCATCTATCTATCTATCTATCTATCTATCTATCTATCTATCTATCTATCTATCTATCTATCTATCCATCCATCCATCCATCCAATCTATCTATCTATCTATCTATCTATCTATCTATCTNTCTATCTGTCTATCTGTCTGTCTGTCTGTCTGTCTGTCTGTCTGTCTGTCTGTCTGTCTGTCTGTCTGTCTGTCTGTCTGTCTGTCTGAAGGAAATAAACCAAAACAGGAGGACATCAGAGAGCATCACTGGCCAGGACTGCAGGTCTGACCGGCCTTCTACATGCTGAGTACTATGAACACAGATCATGAGGCAGGTCATCTCTGCTCAGGTGACCTCCTGCCTCAGAGTGATGAATCACTGAAAATAAAATGGCCACTCGTCAGGCGGCAAATTAAAGTCACACTGCTTTATGATTAGGATTTACAGTGCTTTTGTTTCTGCTTACTCATTAACGCATCTATTTCCCGGGAAGGCAGAGTCTAATTAATTCCTAATCACACCCATAAATAAGCATTTGCTCTTGTGGATTTTTGACTTCTGAAATCAGAACAGGAAGACGGGGGGCCCGGGGGAGGGGGGGGGGTCTACCATTGCCCCCTTGAGCATCACACCCCAAAGTACTGATTCTTAAGTGCATCTGTTAATCAAGGTAGTCCATAGCAATAACGGAAAATCACAATATGCAGTAATGGTGCTTCTGTTTCGTGTTGAGGAGCAGAGGGGCTTCATTTGGACCGTGTTCCCAAACAAGCCCCCATCTGGATGCGGGGAGCAGAGTGTTAGGTTTGAGGGTGAAAGCGGCACCATCCCAGCGACGTGTGATGGATGGTCAATGGTCAGGGGAGCAGGGGGGAGGGAGGTGTCCGTCGTGCTGCCTGCCGGGTCCATTTTCCCTTCATCTGGGTCCGCTGATAAAGCCATTAGTCATGGGGGGGGGGGGGGTCTGTGAGGCGCTGACACCTCCGGGAAACCTCCGCTCCTTCCTCTGCCTCATTCCTCTACCTCCCTTCACATTTCCACCCTTGTTGGCCCCTCCTCTGTCTCACTGTCTCACATTAAATTTCATGGCCTGCCTCACTGCGCCAGCTTTGTCCTCTCTCCTCATGTTAACGTACTGTGCTCCCCGTTCCATATACATTATAATTTCAGTGAACAGTATACAGGGGCGGGGCTACAGAGGCATTGGCCCCAGATGAAAGCTGATTGGCTCCCAGAGTGTCCCCTCCCTTGTCAGTCACTGAGGCAAGACATATAATTGGCTACTGATAAGTTTGGTTCCTCTGTATGAATTATGGCCCCTTTTATTCCCTCTCTTTAGAAAACCCTGGAATCGCCCCTGCCAGTGATACCATCAGCCTCCACTCACCCCCAGAGACCCTCGAACTGCCCCCCTGCTCTCTGCTTAAGTTGCTTAGTGTCTCACTGGCTTGTTAGCACCAAGCCTGAGCACATTCCACCAGTCTTCAGCTCCTAGGTTCACTTTCAGATGCACTAAAAAAACATCTTTTTAACCCAAACATTGATGTTTTTAATCCCCCCCAGGCATATTAAAAAAATTCAAAGCGAAATCTTTGGTTTTGGACGCGGGTACCACCGGTGTTCTGCCGTGGGACACATTGTAAAATTAGTTTAGTTCTAAGGGTTTGAAAGAAAAGCAGTCAGGGAGATGATGTATGAGGACCTGGGCTCATCAGACGCAACGGCACCCGCCTCAGTGGGCCGGAGATTCCATTAGGAGCCCAGCTGACGCCCGGGTGACGCTAACTCAACGTGCTTCATTACGGTGTCGTTTGCCCACGCATGACTCCACACTTACGGCCTGTGAAATAGAGTCGGGTTGGATACTGAGCTGATAAAACCATGCAAAGGGATCGGCGGGGGTGTGGGCAGGATCAGTATTTAATTGAATAAATATCTAGTGAGCAGAGTCAGAGATGTTCAACACTGGGAGTGTGTTTGTGTAACACTGCAGGGTGTTAAATGAACACTGTCAGGGAGTGTTTGTGATACACTGCAGGGTGTTAAAATGACTTTGCCAGGAGTATGCTTATAGAGTAGAAATTAATTTAATGCCCCTGCTGTTTGGGAGCCCCCTATTGGCCGCAAACAGTCCATACACTGGGAAGGGCATAATATACCTTGAGTGGGGACCCAGAAAGAACAATCCCGTCCCTGCGGCACATACACAGTCACATGACCAGAGCATTTTGGAGTCACCCATTCACCAAAACTTCAAGACTCAAGTTACTTCATCTGCCTTTTGTGCAGTAATACGTGTGAATTCTGACCTATGCCATCCAGTCAGTAACATGTGACAGGGATTCATTGTGTACAGCAAGGTACTCACCAAACGTCATGGCAGGTGTATGACTGGGAACTGCAGAGGTAGGTAATTATGGAAGAAACGTGAAATAAACAGAAGAAATAGCTGAAAAAATATGGCTGAATAAGATATAATATAAAATAAACATTCATCCATCCATTTTCTGTAACCGCTTATCCTATTCAGGGTGGTGGGGGGTCCGGAGCCTATGCTGGAGGCTAGGGGCGCAAGGCAATAGAATAAACTTAGTATAAATAAAAGAACTGGCTGAAACAGGAAGTATGGCAGAGTAAAGTGCGATGGGCAGTATGGCTCCTTCCGCTAAAGTATACTGCTGGATCCCCCAGAGGAATCCCGTGCTTCGTGGGGAGAGCATGCGGACTCCACACGGGTCCCTGACACTGCCCACGGGGTCTCCACCCCCCCGATACAGTCACACACTGTACGCCGCCTTTTGGCAGCACCGCGACGCTCTCGTGTCATAGTGCGCCGTTTCCGTGGTTACAAGCGGAGCCCGCTGCCGTCTTAATGCATTTCTGCGCATCCGGAAATAATTACGGAGCAGAGCGAACTAAATCCCTTTTGTTTTGCCACTTTAAGCTCATTACGGATGGCCGGGCACTTTGGCATGCCGTTCTGAGAGCCCGCCCGAGCGTCTCACATCATAGCATATGGAAGGTGTGGGTGGGGGCTCGGTGCATGTTAAACTGGAGCAACATGCTTGTTCTCATGTTTCTTTTGAGGCTGACAGGCCACACTAGGCCAGAGGATCACGGGCCAGACTTCAGCACTTGGAGAACGTGGGTAGCGAAGAGGGGAGCGATTATTGAAATGATTGAATTTTGTGGCGGCGTTCCCCAAGGTCGCCCCCTGCTGTCGGCACCATTGAATTTGTCAGTCACGACGAGCCCCTGTGCCGCTCTTTAAACAGGCCAGGTGCCCCCTGAGGACACATTAGCGGCTTGACGCTAACAACTGAGGAAACCCTCCAAAAACAGGCTGGATGGCCGTTCAAGGGCAAAGACAAGCGGGCGGCTGTCCAGGTGTTTGCCGAGAAAGTCTTTTCTAATTTCACCACCTCCGTTGACTGTCTCCCCCACCCCACTTCCAAGCTCCCTGTCCGCTGGACACTAATTGCTTTCCCAGGCCCTGTCCAGCTCCTCACCTCATCAAACGCTTTTTTTTTTGGCTTCGCAGCTCTTTTACCCCCCCCCCCCCATATACAGAACACGTTCAAATCAGTCTGATCCTCAAATGGATTTTCATCCCTATCAGCACTCCAGCTATGATCCTCATGAAATTTTAGAATAGGAGCCTTTCTGTATAGATATATATACTGTATATATGTGTATATATGTGTATATATGTGTATATGTGTGACTGACCCACTTGGCCTCACAGGCCGGAACACACACAATATGTGCTTTCTGCAGCGATGACCTCATGGTCCGAAGGGGCATCGTCCCGGGATGGATCACGCATGACCGCATGCCACATCACGTTAGTATTCTGCCAGCAGCTTTTGTCAGAGTTGAAAACTGGGCCTGACTGCTCAGGGGAGCGGGGGGGGGGCTGGTTGGGGTTTAGGGAGGTTGGTGAGGTGAATGACTGCACCTTCAGCCATTAGGCTGTTCTGTTTGAGGATATGACCTGCTGATGTACTGCTACAGGTATAGACCTGCTGTTAGAGGATTTGACCTGCTATTGTACTGTTAGGCAGTGTTGCACTATTAGAGGATGGGACCTGCTGTTGTTCTGTTAGAGGATTGACCTGCTGGTGTTCTGTTAGAGGAACTGACCTGCTGTTGTTCGGTTAGAGGATGGGACCTACTGTTATACTGTTAGAGGATATGATGTGCTGTTGTACTGTTAGAGGATGGGACTGCTGTTATACTGTTAGAGGATATGATGTGCTGTTGTACTGTTACAGGACGGGACCTGCTCTTGTACTGTTAGAGGATATGACCTGCTGTTGTACTGTTAGAGAACGGGACCTGTTGTTGTACTGTTAGAGGATATGACCTGCTGTTGTATTGTTAGAGGATGGGACCTGCTGTTGTACTGTTAGGGGATGGGACCTGCTGTTGTACTGTTAGGGGATGGGACCTGCTGTTGTACTGTTAGGGGATGGGACCTGCTGTTGTAGTAACATTCTACTAACTGCAGAAGAAATACTATCCTGACCGGAAATTTGAAATGTTTATTATTTATTTCATTTTAACTGTATCTGACAGTTTTTTTTCAGTTCAGGGCTTTTTAAACACCAGCTGTGCTGGTTTAGTATAGTGGCACATACAGGCAATTATAACACATCAGAGGGAATTCATTAAAGTGATGTATAATTCATTTTGCAAGCACGCCATCATTATTATTATTGTTATTAAATTTTGGTGATGATGACGCTGGTGATGATGACGCTGATGATGATGATGATGATGATGATGGTGGTGGCCTTTCATCTGTTGCTGTGAAATGGAAGAACAAGACAGTGACTTTAGGTCTTGACGGCACCACAATTTGGGGCAGAGCTGCAGTGACCCGACCCCACTGACAACAGAGTCAGACGACAGCCCCCCCCGCCCCACACGCACACACACAAACACACACACAC